ATGCGGTAGGGCGGCCAGTTCCTTTCCGCCCCGACTTTGACCCCAGTATGCTGACGTCAGCATACCAGTGCTCATTCACAGCTGAGTCGACTGAGAGGAGCAGCCGGGCGCGAACCCAGGACCCTGCGATTGCAAAGCCAGCGCTCTACCACTGAGCTATACCACCTCATAATGAGTAAAGGCAACGTTAAAAGGTACAAGTTAACAAAGAACAACATTATTTATCCGTATGTATTATATCTCCTTATATATCTATAATATCACAAGTTTACATACACATCAGTAACCTACATATAGAAACAGTTCATTCCAATGATTAGATGATATTATGTGTGCTTACTGCATCTGCTATTTATAAGAAAAACCTACATGGAACGTAAAATGTTTACTTGTTGAAGCAAATGATAAATAGCACTGGTGAATATAGCTTAACATGGAAACAGATATTTATATATTTAAGATTAGTGACAGACACAAAGTTCATTGCACTCCTGTGATAACATACGTAGTGAGAAGTTAGAGGGATATGCTCAGTGAAGTATTGAAGTAAGCAAGTTCTTACAAATATATCTTTAGTATGAAGCTTTTTTGTAAACATGTAGAGCGTACTAAATAGGTTTCACATCTCCAGAGTGTGTACAGAGAAGTGCATTTCATTTTATACATCATACTTTGTGCTCTAGTGTGATTCTACGTACTAACAAATTTCACTATAATTAGTTGTATAGCCTATTCTATATATCCTTAAATCCTTATATATATCTATTGTTTTGTCTATTTCATGGGTCTTGTTTTGCACTTCCTGGGAATTTAACATGTCTCAGCGAGTCCCAACACGGTCGGACTCATCTTCAACACCAAAATACACTTTAATTATCATATTATAAATCACCTGCTGGTTTGCTCTCGTTCACAATCACACCATCATCATGTCCCACACCTGTCATCCTAGCACCCATATGTCCCACTCTAACTATGAAACTCATTAGTACTTTGAAGGCCTCACTCATACCCCCTTATCCAAGATTCTGTTTCCCCTCACACGCTCACAGACACTAGCACCTCTCATACCGTCCTCCTTCGCCCTCACAATGGACTCTCGGCTGTGCTAGGACTTGGTTGAAGGATGACCTCAGGTTGGCTGTTGTGGTGTTTCTCCTTCACGATTTCTTCAGTTGATTGTTCCTTCGTTCCAGGTCCAGAGGCCACTGGGGAGAGCTGGAAAAAATGCCGGTTGTTATAGTTTTCTTATATATAGTGTCTGCATTGCATGGTTAATAATGTTGATGGGAGTTTGAAGAAGACACTATCGACATTATTCACAGTTTGATTGGAAGTCATAGTACCTTATGCTATGCTGTTCAAGCTTATACATTGTTCAGCAGAGAATGGCGTTCGCGTCAGCAGAATCAGTCCAAAATTATTTTTTCGAGGTCGCTTTCCGTTACTCCCTTTTTGTTCCGTTACTCCCTTTTGTACCATTGGCGTATCACTCATTCTTATTGGCGCCAAAGGCTTCACTCGTCCTTATCAGCGGCTTGTGATATCAGTCGCCCTGATTAGCAAATGACACAACTCACCCTCATTATCCTTTCATGACATCACTGATCCCCGTTAATCCCTCACGGCATTGCCTCCTCATGAGACCCTTTCGATGTCAGTCTCCTTCATTTTGATGTCACTTCCTAACTTCCTGTGATGTTACTCATCTTTATTAGGACTTCACTCATCGCCTCATCTGCCATCGTTACTGATTCCTTGTAATGGCACTCACCCTGGGCTGATGTTTGTGATACCACCCTGTCTTATATCGTGAAGTCATGCACATTCACTTACATCACACATCCTTACTGAAGCTTTGTGGCACCTCCTACACTTACTGATGTGCGCGATGCCACATATTTATCCTTGTATTGTCAATTATTATTTGAAGACTCTCAAGATATCATTCTGTGTGGCTCTTGATGTTACTCTTAGTGACCTCTTTTGACATCACTCCTACTGACCTCTCTATGACCTCTTTTGATACCTCTCCTTTACTGAACTCTTTTAATATCACCCTTACTGACCTCTTTTGACATCACTACTGACCTCTTTGATATCACCCTTAACTGACCTCTTTTGATATCACTCCTTCTGACTCTTTTGTATCACCCTTACTGACCTCTTTTTGACATCACTCCTACTGACCTCTTTTTGATATCACCCTTACTGACCTCTTTTGACATCACTCCTACTGACCTCTTTTGATATCACCCTTACTGACGCTTTTGACATCATCACTGACCTCTCCTGACTCTTTTGGCCTGATTTTGGTATCACCCTTACTGACCTCTTTTGGTGCTGACCTCTTTTGACATCACTCCTACTGACCTCTTTTGATATCACCCTTACTGACCTCTTTTGGTATCACCCTTACTGACCTCTTTTGACATCACCCTGCTTTGAAATCACCCTTACTGACCTCTTTTGAAATCACCCTTACTGACCTCTTTTGAAA